AGAATTGGTTCCTCTCATGCTTTTTCTAGACATCTCTGATGTAATTAAGAACCTCACATGTATCACAACCCAACAAAAAAAAGAAAAAAAAAACTAGGGGTAGTTTTATCTCAAGGAAATGATGCTATGAGAGGTTACTGCATCTTCTACTGGTAATGTGATGTCTGAATGTTTGTTGACTTACTCGATATTAAAGAATGAATGCTTTAGTTACGCCTAGGATGGCACCTCATTTCTTCTTGGTCTTTCTTTCCTTACTATTCCTCTATCTTGTAGTACCATAAAGTCAGGCCAGCTCACTACTATTTTGAGTTGAGAATATGGTTAAAGCCTCAGTTTGAAACTTTGTTCTATTGTTGTGCAAGATGTATCAGTAAATATATATATATTTTTTAATGTACCTGTCACAATTATATATTATATTGTTGTGATATATTTAGTTTGGACTAAGTTTCTAAAAGACGTAGTTGCTTGGTGCAGGCAATGGCTCAAGTTGGAGGCTTGGTTATGCTGCAACCTGAAGTTGGTGGCTCCCGAGATAATTTCTTCTTTGCAGGAATTGACAAAGTAAGGTTTCGGAAACCAGTCATTGCGGGAGATACTTTAGTTATGAGGATGACACTTACTAAGCTACAAAAGCGATTTGGAATAGCAAAGATGGAAGGAAAGGCATATGTTGGAGGTGACTTGGTTTGCGAGGGTGAATTCCTGATGGCTACTGGAAGTGATTGAGCCCTCAGTTTTGTTCTTCTGTTTTCTCCAGTTTTCTAGTAAGTTGGAAACATGGTCTTCCCTCTTTTGTTTCCTATGAGCATCAGCCCTTGTGACATAGGCTTATTACGACCTAAGTAATTATTTCTTTTGCATTTCAAATAAATATGAAGAAATTTTTGTTCTGCTTTTCCTTTTCTGATCTCAACCTTATGCCTTCCTAAATGTATGATGTGTTGGGGTCTGATATTTACACATCAACCTCATTTCCAGTGAACAAAGTTAAGAATTTAGATCAAGCATCTGATCTTCTATGTTCGAAGGAAAAAGGAAAGAGGGATTAATTTTTGGAACCCTTTACATATTCTTTCACCGGGAAAAGATGTGAGTTTTGGTCATATACGAAAACTGTGCGAGTGGTTTTATCTTTACATAATGACGACAAGGCATAAATACATTTCGTGAAAATCGAGATGGAGAGAAATAAAAAGCCTCTTTATATTTCATATAATCTTTCAGATATTTGAATAGCATATTCTCCAGTTTAATTAAAAGAGGACGTGGAAATTCGAGACATCTAGCTATTAAAAATATCGAGATGTTCATTCATAGTCACAAGATGAGTGGTACATAATGTATGTATTGTCTCCCTTAAATTTCATTCATTATATGATTAAAATTAGATATATTAATATTTTTAAGGGCTTGGCATTGTATTTTTACTGTTATGTAATTAAAATTAATATACCTAAAAGCAAGCATAAAGAATATATATAGCATTGTCACAAGGCTAATAATACTAGTGTTGAATATGATAATATGAAAAGACTGAAGAATCTATATAGGTGATCTTTTATTGATGAACCCTCATGATCAATAGTAGAGGAGCATAAGTCTAGCCATGAAAAGATGCTGAATATGCTTTTTATCATGAATTGTAAGACTAGCCAGATGACACTTTATTCTTACAGCTTCAGCAATTGAAATCAAGTTTATACATGATACTATACTACCTAGTTGATCTTCTCCCCTGGGTTTGTGTAAAGCTGCATTTGAATTGGTGGTCCATATGTAAAAGTTTTATGATACTTTAAACACATGGAAATTTACATTTGTCTCTTTGTTTACCACTTAGTTATTGTAACTTCGAGAAATTCCAGTTACCCCAGATGCAATAACATTTATGATGCCCACTTAACTTGCATATTTATCTTCATCCCTTGCATGCACGAACCATTATTGCAATCTCATGTTCTCTTTAATCCCTAACTGGTACTGGCTGATTGATCAATCTTGTGCTTTGACTGATATAAAACGTCCTAATGAGCATTTTACTCTTAGCCTTGTTCCTAACAAAAGCAAGAAGGAAAGGAGAGTTGGTTATTATTATTGGTGTTTGGGGTTTCTTTTTGGCCCCCAATGATATATCTGATGAGTGCATCTTTGCTTTAGTCAGCACACAATCTGTAGTGGGATTGAGTGTTGGCAATAACTATGTCGTTTATGCAGCCATCAAAGTCTCTTTGTCAATCTTTTCTTTTTAAGTTGGTAGGGAACATCAATTACTACAACATTTTTTTTCCAGTGGATCTCTTCCTCTACTACCACACACTTGTAACCCATGTGGAAGGGAAGCCCCCTCTGCTTAGGAATTGGACACTACTGCTCATTTTGGTATATGCATTCACCTTAGAATAACTTCAGCAAAGTTACCAACTATTTGGATTTTGGATATTGTCTTCTTTACCTCCCAGGAAATTCTTCATTGACCATAGGCATATGCACTCATTAAGCAGTATATGATACCAACGAGGGGTTGGATCAAGTGGCAAGTGGCTTATTTCAGCTTAAGTAAAATTTTGAATTCGAGACCTTCTGTACGCAGTAGCCTTCGTCGGAAGACCTACCCACCATTTTGGTGCGCCACAGTTGGTCGAATCCGGAGTAATCGGGGTGAAACCCCGGATATCGGACGGGAAACCAAAAAAAAAAAAAAAATTAATTAAGCAGTATATGATTGTGTCATGCATTCATGAGATATCAAGACTAGTGTATCATCCCGTCTTCTTTTCCATCTCCTCCCTTTTAGTTTTGTGACTCACCATCTAAATGTTTGCTTTTAACCACTTGTAATTATTTTTTAAATAGTTAACTATAATGTCT